TATAACATGAAATATTTTGCAATTTTTTTCTCTCACATTAGTTCTACCCGATACTATAATAGACCACATTTTTGGCTTTGCAAAAGGATTTTGCAGCTTACATATTTATTATGTCAAATGTTACTGCTCAAGGGTCCAGGAGACTGCTTATAAGACTAAACATCAGTTTAATGCGTTAAGTCCCATTGCATTTACTGTTAATTTCTTTCTACAGTCAAAAACGGTGTTAAAGATGTTTTCTCTTAATGATTTGCTACACATCAGGTATGCCTGGCAATATAAACCTAGTTTCTGAGGATAGAAAGCGCTAAAGTGCAGATTCTAGCAGCAATCACCAGACCAGAGATATGTGGTCAGAGCAATGGAGGACCACAGGGGAAAATACCACGACTGCCCTGTGGAGTTTGATCTTCTGAGCCCCAGGATGGGAGAGAGGGGTTTGGGGGATAGCCGCAGGCTAGACAGAACATCGGACTGCAAACAGACATGTAGGAAACTCTCAGGACAGTCTCGTTCTTGATAGGGAATGACCTCCACTGGCACCCCCAAACAGAGCAAGTCTGGATTCCAATTGAATTGTTAAGCTGGCTATATAAGCAAGTTTATATATAACAGCTTTTATGCAAAACAGGTCTCATTTCTAGTACTAAAAGGTATATTTTTATTCAAGATTCAGATGTTCCCATTTTTGCACTTCTTTTACAGGCAGGCTATCTGCCTACGTTCACTTGAGTGCTACAGAGAAACTCTCCATCTCTATGCGTACCCTGCTGCGATTGCACTGCCAGGAAGTGTTCAGGCTAACATCTGCCAAGCTGCATTGGCTGTAGTTTAAGCAGACAGTAAGATAACACCAAGCGACATTTTAAGAGTCAGAGATGAATGCATGATGTATATTATGTCTACTGACCACTTCTACTTTAATCAAAAGTTCCCAGCACAAACTTCTTAAGACTTACCATGTGTTTCCTCCTGCCACTTCCATATCTTACTTCCACAGCCAGAAAATGCTTCCTGCCAAACTCACAAAAGGGAAATGCAACTCAAGCAGTAAACACAGCCCTCACAGAGCAGGTAAAACCTCAGCTGCTGGTCCCTAACAATTCTCTAGTTGCACTTAGTATCATCTCCTCTGTTAATACCAGGTAGATCGAACTTATTTTAATACGAATATTTGTTAATATTTGATAATATTTTATGTTAATATTATAATGAATATTAATGCGTCATTTTCTAGTATTACTAGATACCTTCCATTAATACTGTCAATGACTTTTCATATTGAATTGGATCAAATTAAACATTTCATTTAACCCACCACAATTTTTTAACTGAAAGCTACAATACAGTATTGACTGTTTTCAAGCAGAGCTGAAACATATATCAGAAATAAATATGCAGTCACATAAATACATACTTATACTATTATATTTATAAATACATAAATTAAAAGGCAAATCAACTAAAAAGCTGTACTGTTATTTTATGATTCCAGAGGGATTCAGGAAAGTCCAGCACTTACTGTGATCTGACTAAGGGTACGTAACCATCTATATTTAGACACTGAAGTCCGAAAAAAATCACAAACTGACCTAAGCTTTTCTCCTTTCTTTGCTATCGCTTCCTCATATAGCAAGTCAAAAACCAGATGTTTAGGAGACTCTCTGCTTTTTACATATCTGCTCCCTACGCTCTGCCTCACGCTAAACTTCCACAAGTGTTTGCACAACATTGTGCCCACTTTCTGAGCAGCGGAAGGAATTATTTCCCAGCCCCTGTATTTGCCCCTTCTGCTCTCGGCAGGTCAAGTGGAACGGCAGGTGAATTCCAAGCCCTTTGTGGAGAAAAGGAGGTGGCTTCAGAAGACAGAGTGGGATTTTTTCCCTGGGGAACAAGAGTAGGCTGGTAGAGAGGACGCACAGGAGACAGGAGTTGACAGACTTCGGCTTGCACAGGCTGAACCCTCATTCCAGTGAAAGCTTTGTCTCCTGGGCTTTTGGGGTCTTGTGTGCACAACTTCTCAAGTGAGAGGTTTAAATTTGTCTAAAACAACACAGATTCTTAATTTTCTTAGAGAGGGTAACTTTATCAGCCCAGAGGCTGGAGCATTCCTCTGGAACTGGGACAACTCAAAACAGTAAGGGACTGCAGCCCAGCTCTCCCCCAACCCTCATGATGGTCTTGGTCACCAGAGTACACATGAATCCCCCTCACTGTGTCCTTTGTCTTTGGGTGTCCTTTGCTACATGCAAAGACTCTAAACGATCCCAGTCAAGATCCCAAAAGACTCCCTTTTGACTTTTGTGTTCATTAGACAAGGCAATGAGTCATGAAAAAGAAAAACCACTAGTTTCCATCCTGCCGCACGGAGAACACATCCTATACCCTGCCTTAAAAGACATGCAAAGGAAGTATTTACTTCCCTTTTCAGCAGTCTTTCAGTAATCGGATTATTGCATAACTGTTGTTTTGTCCGTTACGAGCGTGCTTTTAACAGGGTGAAGTACGGAAGGTCTCTGCTTGCAGCGGTATCAGCTCACTCGGTGACGTTATCCTTCAAAAGGAGCAGCAATTCAATTTGCACAAGTCATCTCTGATGGCTGGTGGGAAAACACATGCTGCCAAAATCAGATAATGGATTTGGCATTCCCATAGGCGGGGGCTGGGACGAGATCCGGGGCAAAGTATTGAAGGGATGCAGGGAGAACTTGGGCGAAGCACGGCACACCCAGGAACAGAGGTTCAGGGTGCCTGGCCTTCGGGCTCGATCTCATGTCTCAACCAATTTATGCCACTATCGTCTCTATTACACCCCCTTCACATAGTCCCGATGAAACTGTGTCACATCAGAGAAAAAGCGGAGGTAGAGGAGATGCTTTAGCTCTCAGAAAACATAGTGGATTTTTATTTCATTACAAACATCCTGCTCTTTTAGACAGATACTTACTCTTAGCTCAGGGGCAGGGTTAATCATATAGTGGAGTTGGCTCTTGGCTTCACTTTTGTCCTGGGGATTTCTGCAGAGCAGATTTCTGCCACGCTCAGGAAGTAGCTGAGTCTAGTGATAAGGAGAACAAGCAGTCATTGGTTTTACTTGGGGATTTGCAGGGGAATTTTCTTTTTTTGCCTCGGACATGAATGACATTTCAGCGCACACCAAAATTAGATAATAAAGCTGCAAATAGTAACTAAGAAAAGTGGGATCTCTAGTCAAATTTTAATTGCCCTGTGTGCATGCATACATATGTAGAGACACATGGAGAAAGAGAGAGAACCTAAAAGAAAAGAATCAGCAAAACCTCGTTCCAAGTAAACTGGTTAAAGCTCCAACATCTACAATCTGATGCCCGTTAGTTTAACATAACGTATACAGCGTAATACAACATAAACAATAAAACATAACCTTCAGTGCCTGCTAAAATCCTCTCCTTTTTCACGCCTTCAGAGAACTAAATGTATTTTTCAGTAAAGCTCTCTAAGACATACAGCTAAGGAGAAGCACCATTAGGAGCCAGAATCAGTATCTTTTGTTGACTCAGTACTCAATAAGAGGTAGGAGACACAAACGTGGTGATATCTTTTCCTGGGCCAGCAGACACAGTAATGGGAAACAGATGAATTTTCATCACAAAGTTCCTTTTATCAAGTAAGTTAATGACAAATGGTACACAGTAAACCATAATAAAATATGGGCAAACTATTAAATTATTACTATAAATAAATTATAATGCTTTACATGCTAAAGATAAATGAGTTTTTACAAACTCCTCAGAGTTGGGGAGAAGTACCTCTATAAATCCACAAATCACAGAAACATGAAGCTTTGAGGTTGGAGATGTCAAGCAGCAAAAGACATCATGGTCAAAAGGACAATGTTTTTATGGCACCGAAACACAATGGCTTCTCCTAAACACACGAACTCCAGATGGGTTAAAAAACCAAATCTTCATGTAAGCAACAGATCAGCATTTGAGCCCAAGTCTTCCCTTGAAATTGTCTCCCTCACAAGGTAATATCTCTACCAGCCACAGCAAATAAACACCCAGCATTCATGCGACGAGGTTCTTTAACAGAAATGTCTATAGCAGTGCCATAATACTTCATGTTATTTCCCTTTGCTAAGACCTAGGGTTACGGTCACTGAAAAAGATTACAGAAAAGACTTGTTAAAATATCTAG